ACCCCAGCCTATATTTTGTCAGCCAGCATTTACTGAGCAGCTGCTTTATACCAAGAATAATTATACTAAGAATTATTGTTATTGTTTTCATTGTTATTATTTATAGATGTAGCTAGGGAAGCTGAGGCCCTCAGAGTTGGGGTCTAGATCTGGAGTCACAGAGCTGCGCTGGGATTTGAACCAGGGTGATCTAGCTTTGACCGTAGCTGTGTCTGCGAGGTCAGGTAGGGTCCTGGGCCAGTGACAGCCCTGGAAAAAGAACTCTCCCTCCCCCGGCAGCCGTGAGCAGAGTCCCAGGGAAGCTCTCACGGACCCAGCCCAGGTCTGTCCTCCCCCTTGGAGCCTGTCTCCGGGGCCGGTAGATGTATTCTGATTGGCCGGATGGGGGTCGTGTGAGGCTCAGAACATGGGGATGGGAGTAGCCTTCCCGACGATGGTGAAGGAGGAAGGCTCGCCAATAAGTTTCTAGAAAGAGAGTCAGCGAAGTCCCCAGGTGACCCTTGGCGGTGCTTGCCCGTCTCCACTGGCAGGAGGACCCCCGGCATTCCTCGGGCTCCCCAGAGGACACTCCTCGGAGCAGCGGCGCCTCTGGCATCTTCGACCTAAAGAACTTGGCCGCTGACTCGCTGCTGCCCTCGCTGCTGGAGCGGGTGGCCCCCGAGGACGTGGACCGGCGCAACGAGGCCCTGCGGAGGCAGCACCGGGCCCGCACCCTGCTCACCCTCTACCCGGCACCTGACGAGGTGGGTGCCTTCAGGCCCCGAGGCCGACACCCCTCCAGCTGACATGCATCCCTATGTATTATCCCACCAACTTGTACCGGGTGCCTACTGTATACCCTGTGTTTTTATTCAGTGGCTTATATTGGATGTCTAATATGCACCCCCATATTTATTCAACCAATACTTATTGTATACCTTCTGTATAGACCTCTCTTTAATCTAACAGAATTTATTTAGTGCCTATTACATGCCTATTTTTATCTAACCAACGCTGATTGGACAACTAGTGGATATACACTTTATTTTTATTGAATGGCTTTTATTAGACATCTATATACCCCTATATTTATCCAACCCACTTTTATTGGGTACCTAGTATTTTCATTCAACCATTTATTGAGTCTTAATTGTATACTCCTATATTTATTCAATCAGTGCTTATTGGGTATATAATATAATATAATATAATATAATATAATATAATATAATATAATATAATATATACATATACATACATATATATATCCAGTCATCATTAATAGAATGCATTCTATATATACCTATCTGCTTATCCAACTTTTAGTAGGTACCTACCGTATACCTCTATTTATTCAACCGACATGTTTGGGTGCCTGTTGTATGACAGGCACTGGGGATATAGCCATGAACAAGATAGACCCAACCCCTTCTCCACAAGTTAACAGTCTAGTGGCAGAGACCCTCCTACCAGGAAATTACAACCCGGACAGAGTAACACCGTAATGACGTGCTGATATTTGTCCCTCACGTGGCCCTCAATGCCCCAGCCACGTGGCCCATCGCAACAGGGCATTGTGACCACTTTGTCAACTGACATTTATTGAGCAGCTCCCTTATACCAATAACTAGAGGTCTGGTGGGGTGGGGGGGTCCCTTAGCCCGGCCTGCACCCTCTCGCAATCTGGGAGCCCTCAGGGGATGTCTGACTGATGGCTTAGGCCCGCTCCCCATGGGGAGCAGTCGGACATCCTTAGCGCTGCTGCAGAGGCAGGAGAGGCTCCCGCCACCACTGCTGCACTCGCCAGCCGTGAACCCGACTTCTGGCTGAGCAGCGTTCCCCTTGTGGGAGCACACTGACCACCAGGGGCAGCTCCTGTATAGAGCAGGATCAGGCTGAAACCGGCTCTCCTGCAGGCCAGGCCAAGGGACCCCACTGGTGCACGGGGTCGGGGAGGGATGCAGGAGGTTGGCCAGCCAGGGAGGGACCGCCGGAGGGCTCCAGGGCATGTCTAGCCTATCTTGCTGAGTCCCGATTGGCTGGACCCCAGCAGCAAGCTAACATACCAGTTGGAGCATCTGCCCTCTGGTGGTCAGTGCATGTCATAGCAAGCGGTTGAGTAGCCTTAGCATATCATTAGCATATTATGCTTTGATTGGTTGAACAGAGACCGGACACTTAGCATATTAGGCTTTTATTATATAGAATAATTATACCAAGAATTATTGTTATTATTTTCGTTGTTACTAGTTTAAGTTGGAGGAGGTGCCTGCCCAGGCCTCAGGGGTCAGGGAAGGCTTACTGGAGGAAGTGCCAGGTAAGCTGCCACCTACACCATGAGCAGGCATCGGCAGTAAGGAGGAAGGGAGAAGAAAGGCATTACAGGCTGGGGAACAGCATGTGCAAAGGCTCAGAGGCAAGGGACTTCAAGTTTAGTCAGGCTGGGGGTTGAGCTGGTCTCAGGCTATACATTCCAAGCTCTTCTTGGAGGACGTGTCCCAGCTGCCCCCCGGTTCTTGGCAGGACGAGGCCGTGGAGCGCTGCAGCCACCCGGAGCCGCCCTGCGAACACTTTGGACAGAGGATCCTGGTCAAGTGTCTGTCACTTAAGTAAGTGTGCTTACCTGCCCCTGTTCAGACCTGCACGGGGACCAGACAGCTAGATCACGGTGTGGCACACACTCGGTGCTCACTGCGAGAGCCGTGCCATTACCACGTGCAGCCAGGGGACCCGTGAGGCCATGGGCCTTTAGGCGGGAAATAAGACTTCCGTTTCCATTACTCAAAGCCACCAATCCTTAAGTGCTGTGTACCAGGCTCTGCTCTCAGCCCATCCACGTACATTCACTCTGATCTTCACTAAACCTTGTGAAGTGGACACAAGTGGGGAAGCCGAAGCACAGAGTGACGAAGTCCCTGCGCCAAAATCACACAATCTGGGAGGCCAGAGGCCAGCACGCTCCCACTCTGTTGGTGGGACCCAGGTGGACGGGCGCTGGTGACGCTGGGGCTGGAGGCCCCTCCACAGTCGCCCCTGGGGAGCAGCCAAAAATGCGTGGGAACTGAGCTGAACAGGATGTGGCCTTGGACCTGAGCCTGGCCCTGCCCCTTCCCACCCTGAGTTCCTGTTGGCCAGGGACAGGAAAGAGAGGCCTGGTCTGGCTGGAGGCCCGGGTGGGCCGCCCGCCCCAAGTGCAAGTGTTGGGAATTGGCTCTGTGGGCTCATCCAGTCATTCAACACTCATTGAGTGCCTACTGTATACAGAGCATGTAATCGTGGGATGACTATACAACACACGCAAAGGAAGGGAGACATCTGGAGAGGGAAAATGAGACCAAGAGGTGTGGCAGGGCTGGGCCATGCAGGAATTTGTTGTCAGGGAGCCTCAAAATTTAAGTTCTAAGATGCTTCCTTAGAAGGTAGCTGGTGCGTAGGGGCCAGCAAGGCAGAGCAAGGGAGGGAGGCGGTTACAGTGGCCATTCAGGTGAGCGAAAATGGGACTCAGCCCAGGGTGGCACAGGTGACAAAGGACACCCCAGAGAGGGAAGACAGGGAGACCCGGGAGTCGAGAATGTAATTTGGGGGAGAGGGGATTGTTGTGCCAAAAGCTACCTCTCCACAAACTGAACAAGAGCCATGATTTTGGGGGGAGGGGTTTTGTGTGAGTTACTTACTGACGGGAGTGGGGGGGGGTAGAATCAGTGCCTCAGTTTCCTCTTGCGAAATGGGACAGGCCTTTCCTGCAAGCCCTTAAAGGGCAGTTCGTGTGGCTCAGTGGGAATTAGATGCCCCCCAAGGCTGCACCAAGGTGGGCGGGGCCTCAAGAGAGAGTCGGGGGTGTGGATGGCGGGAGTGTGGCAGGAACAGCCTGTGCCAGATCGCCCCCTCACCCACAGGTTCGAGATCGAGATTGAGCCCATCTTTGGCATCTTGGCCCTGTACGATGTGCGGGAGAAGAAGAAGGTAGGCGCCCCTTTCTTCCCCTTCCCGCCTCACTGCCCTCCTCGTTGCAAGGCTGTGGGCTTCCTGGAGGTGGTGACCCAGCTGCCTCTTGTGCCCCCAGATCTCGGAGAACTTCTACTTTGACCTGAACTCAGACTCTGTGAAGGGATTGCTGCGGGCCCACGGCACTCACCCGGCTATTTCCACCCTGGCCCGCTCTGCCATCTTCTCTGTGACCTATCCCTCGCCCGACATCTTCCTGGTCATCAAGGTGCCCCCTGGGGCTGGGCAAGGAAGGGGTGGTAATGGTGATGTCACAGGCTCAGTCCCTACGGTCATGGGAGAACACAGACCTGAGGAAGGATGATCAGGCCTCTTGTAGGGGAAGCACAGGCAGTGGGGCAAGCCTGGAGGAGGCTCCTGACCCAACCCAGGTGAAGAGAAATCCCTGAGGGCTTCCATGGAGAGGTGACAGCTGAGCCAAGACCCATGAGTGAGCAGCCTGTAGAGAAATGGCATCCTGGCCTAGGGGGACAGATGTTTAAACATATATATATGTATTTCTCATTTGTTGATTTGAGAGAGAGAGAGAGACAGCTAGAAACATCGATTTGTTGTTTTCCCTATTAATTCATTCACTGGTTGATTCTTGTATGTGCCTGACTGGGGATAGAACCCACCATCTTGGTGTATTGGGACAATGCTCTAACCCAGAGGTGGGCAAACTTTTTGACTCGAGGGCCACAATGGGTTCTTAAACTGGACCAGAGGGCCGGAACAAAAGCATGGATGGAGTGTTTGTGTGAACTAATATAAATTCAAAGTAAACATCATTACATAAAAGGGTACGGTCTTTTTTTTTTTTTAGTTTTATTTTTTTTTTTTTAGTTTTATTCATTTCAAAAGGGCCGGATCCGGCCCGCGGGCCGTAGTTTGCCCACGGCTGCTCTAACCACTGAGATGCCTGGCCAGGGCCTAAAACATGTTTTTTAGTTGAGAATTTTTCAGTTTATTAGGAGAGAAAAGACCTAATGGGCACATTTATTTGGGATATTGTTTCCAGGAGTGAGTTTAAATTTCCTTTCCCAAAGCATTCAATTAGGTTACACGAATGACGTTAACTGAGCACCAATGGGTAGGGACGGCTCACCGAGAGTCAGGCTTCACAGGGACTCCCCCCTGAGTCCTCACAGCAGCCCTGGGAGGTGGGTGTTGCCATGGCCCCATTTTACAGGTGGGGAAACTGAGGCACGGGTCAGGTGAGGGACCTGCTCAGGATCCCACAGCCCAGAGTGGTCAGGATTGAAGTCCAGTTCTTGTCACCCGGAGCCATGCTTGGAGTGGCCTCTGTTCCTACTGACAAGGAATTGTAGATGCAGGGAAATGGGGAGGCTTGGCTTTGGGGTGGGTTCAAAGGTGGGTGGGGGCAGCTGGCCAGGCAAGAGGGCTGCTAGCACTCAACCCCGAGGACAGTGGGAGCCATGGGAGGTGTTGGAGCAAGAGCTCTAGTGGATGGGTGTCTGGGGGCTCACGAGAGGCCCAGGAGGTTGGGGGTATGGTGGGGAGGTCAGGCTCCCGCAGCTCCTCACTGGGCCTGCCTGCCCCTCAGCTGGAGAAGGTATTACAGCAGGGAGACATCAGCGAGTGCTGTGAGCCCTACATGGTGATGAAGGAGGTGGACACAGCCAAGGTAAGCGGTGGAGGCTGGACCTGGTGGTGAACGCCCCGCCCCCCTCACCCCCCACCCCCCACCCCCACACCAACCCTGCATTCAGCAGGCCTGGGGCACTGAGCTTGTGGGTCTCGGAGGGTCTCCCCACAGAACAAGGAGAAGCTGGAGAAGCTTCGCCTAGCGGCTGAGCAGTTCTGCACCCGCCTGGGCCGCTACCGTATGCCATTTGCCTGGACGGCCGTGCACTTAGCCAACATCGTGAGCAGCGCTGGGCAGCCGGACCGGGACTCCGACTCCGAGGGCGGTGAGAGGCGGGGCTGGTGGCCCGGGGGCGGGGCTACTGGGGAAGGAAGGGCGCCCTCTGCTGGCCGTACTCTGTACAGGCTCAGTCTCCAAGTGTCTCCTTCCCTGCCTCTCACCCCTGTCCCCTCCATCCATCACCGTCACTGCTGCCCCTAGAGCGCCGACCCGCCTGGACTGACCGCCGCCGTCGGGGGCCCCCAGATCGGACGAGTAGCGGGGACGACACCTGCAGCTTCTCCAGTTTCCGCCCGGCCACACTCACTGTCACCAACTTCTTTAAACAGGTGTCATGGCCACAGGGGAGGGGGCGAGGGGAGGGGCGCCGAGGGACACCCCCGTGGTCGCACAGGCCCCGGGGGACCCGGCTCATGGCTGCGGGTCTGGTGCAGGAGGCCGAGAGGCTCAGTGATGAGGACCTCTTCAAGTTCCTGGCTGACATGCGGCGCCCCTCGTCCTTGCTACGGCGTCTGCGGCCTGTGACCGGTGCGTGCTGCACCCCATAAGCAAGAGGTGTCACTCAGCAAACCCTGACCACCCGCTGTGTCTGACCCTGGGGGCTCCACAGGGACCATGATAGTCAAATCCCCAGCTGCAGAGGCTGGACCTTCCAGGGGGGCCACAGATTAGAAACAATAAATAAGGCAGATATTGGGCCAGTTGGGGGATGTAGTGGCTGGGGGGCCATGGATCCCGAGGGCAGAGCTGATCCAATGTGGGGACAAGAGGTGGGAGCTGAGGGTGACTTCTGGCCTTAGTACCTGAAGGACAGCCACCAGAGGGCATTGTGGGGGAGTTTGAGCTGGGACCCCAAAGTCCAGAGAAGGTGGGGTCTGGCTAGGAGGCTCCTAGGCAGGTGCAAACTGGCTCCCCTCCCCAGCCCAGCTCAAGATCGACATTTCCCCGGCCCCCGAGAACCCCCACTTCTGCCTGTCCCCGGAGCTGCTTCATGTCAAACCCTACCCAGACCCCAGGGGCCGGCCCACCAAGGAGATCCTGGAGTTTCCCACCCGTGAGGTCTACGCCCCCCACACAAGCTACAGGTACAGCTCTGGGGCCCAGTTGGGCACTTGAATGGGGGGCATTCAGGCATCATGCAAAGGGAGGCCCCCTTTGTCCCAGACACACACAGACACTCGGAGTGAGATGCCACTGTTGCTTTAATGGGTATGTAGGCATGAAGGGACACATGTCTTTCCTTCACTCCTCCTCCGTGGGGCCGTGTCTTCTGTCTTCGTCCCCACCTGCTTCTGTCTCTGATCCAGGGCCGGCAGCGGGGCCCGACAGCCTGGCTCACCCCAGCAGACAGGCAGCTCCTCGCGGTGCAGGGGCCGCGTGGGGCGTGGCCGCGTCCCTCGGTGTACATGGCTGGTCCTCAGTGCTGCCAGGCAGGCTCAGGCTGGGAGCGCCGCTGTGTGGAGTCTGGAAGGGAGATGAGGCTCAGCCAAGGTGGGGGGTGGGGGGCACCCTGCTCCCCTGCACACCCCCAACCCAGGGGCCCTCACCAACCCCCACCAGCCTCACCTTTCCTGGATCTGTCGCAGCCGGTGCTGCTGTGCCACCATCTCCCGCCTCTGTCGCTGCACGTGGCCCGTGAGGACCCACAGGATGTGGCCCTGCTTGTCAGCACGGGCCTGTGGGGTCAAGACAGAAACCTCAGCTGGGGCTGCCTCACCTCCCATCCCTTGGTCCTACCCAGCCCCCTCTCCTCATTGCATTCGTGTGGCCCAGCACGTCACTGCCACTCTCAGGCCTCAGCTTCCCTAGCTGTAAAATGGGGAAGAAATGGGACTCACTTGGTAGCATTATGAGCATGATATGGATTATTAAAGGACACACAGCAGTGCTGGGTACTTCCTGAACACGCAAGAAATGTTGCCAGTTTCTCTAAAAATATGCATTTATTCCTGGCCCCACGCTGAGTATCTTATCTGCACTGAGTCCCTGACTCCACTCTGAGACATCAATTGTTGACTTTATTGCAAGTGGAGAAACTGAGACAGGGAAAGGGACATGGGTTTCGCCCAGGGTCCCACCGGGTGCTGGGAAGCTGACCTGGGTGAGGGGGATCTCTGGGACTTGCTCTAAAAGCAGCTTCTGACTGGGAAGCAGGGTCTCAACTCCCCCAGGACCGGGAGCCCCTTACCTTCAAAGCCTCGAATTCTTGATGGGCCCGGCCCAGCCAGGCACCTCTCAGCCGGACTTCCAGCTGCCGCATGTTCTCCCGCAGCACCCGCTGCCCCTGGGCCGCCTTCCCCAGCGCCCGGGCCGTGGCCTCTGCCTGCAGCTGCAGAGCATCCTCTTCCCCCTGCAGAGCATCGATAGGGAGACGGTAGCAGGATGACCGACTTGTCTTTGTTTGCCTGGGTCATGCCTGGTTTTAACACTGAAATTGCTATATTCCAGGAACCCCCCCTCTTCCCGGGCAAACCCAGACAGTTGGTCACCCTACACGTAACCAGGGCAGACCCTCGCCCGCCCCAGGGGGTCAGAAAGCAGTGCTCACCTGCATCTCCCCGCAAGCTTGCGCGTAGCTCCTGGGCCGCATCCCAGCCCTGGCTGACTTCCTGCCCCAGGAGCCCCAGGGCACGGTCGTACAGGCCGATGCTGTGCCGGGCCTCCATCAGCCGCGCGTCCGTGGTCTTGTACACGCCGTTGAGGGCCTGGCCCAGCTGCAGGGCCCCGTGGAAGAGCAGGGTCAGCTCCTCGTGCTGTGCCGGCTCCACGCTGCCCACAGGGGCCCCAGAGGCCGGCCAGACCGTCGTCAGCAGGGAACACAGCAGACCCAGAGCGAGCATGGCCGCGGCTGAGTGGCTGGAGGTGCGGTCACGGCGCCACTGCTGCCTTTTATGCCTCAGCGCCCCTTCAGCCCCCGGTCAATCGTTAACCAGCCAGTCGGGTGTCTGTGTTGTGCAAGGGCCTGGCAGCGGTACAATGGTTGCATCAGGCGAACGTCCAGCGGGGCCATGCTGGAGTCACGCAGGCTGGGGCTGGGGCCAGGTGTGGGCTGGGGGCACTGGGGGAGGACAGGCCCAGGTGCTGGGGGACCAAGGAGCTCTGAGCTCTGGTTTCCCCGCCTGCAGACGGGCACGGCAGTGACGGTAACAATAGTGAGGCCTTTATGAGTTTCCCCAGTTTGCGCAGAGCTGTGCCCCTGATGCCAGTAACTGAGCGCGTGCCCTTCCCACAAGCCCCCGAGGCCGGCGTCTTTGTCGGGCTGGTTGAGAACCGGGGGAGTGGGTGCAGCTGGCAGAGACTCTGCCAAGGCCACACGGTCCGACTTCGAGACCCACACATGCCCCGGATCCATGCGAGCTGCCAATCTTCCCCCTGGGCAAGCGCCTCGCTCTCCTTGCCTGTGAAAGGGGGTGACACGAGTCTTGCCTCACAAGCTGCTTGTGAAAAGTAAATGAGCTGTTTCACGGTGAGTGCTTAACCGGAGCCTGGCGCTCAGGTGCCCCCTCGGTGGTTGGTGCAATCATTGTCCTCACTGTTACCGTCCTTGGTATTGTTACAGCGGCTCAGCTGGGAGGGTCAATGCCCCCATTACACAGGCGGGAAAACTGAAGCCCAGAGGGAGGTCGGGGCTGGCACAGAGTCACCCCCGGGAGAGAGGCCGACCTCTGACCCCAGCCGAGCCCCTACGCCGGTTCCAGGCTCAGTTTTCCCACCTGAGAGACAAGCGATGTAACAAGGGGCCTCTCCTGGGGGAAGGGGTGGACAGGCCCCTGAGCGGGGGAGGAGCAGGTCAGCCCGGGCAGGGCTTATCCTGACCATGGGCCACCGGGGCCACCTTGGAACTCAGCCCTGAGCACCCATGTGGCCCCTGCCTTTGCCTCATTAGTGTCCCAAAGGCCTCTGTGTTTCCACCGTCTGCCACAGTTTCCCTGTCTACGCTCCGAGGCTGCCCATCTGTCCCCAACTCTCTGCCAGTCACATTTCCGAACTGTGCCCCTAATTGCCCCTCGCCCAGCCCTCGGTGCCTCGGCCGTGTGGCCGCTGTCCTGTGTCCCAGGCCAGGCTTGTTCCAGGAGCCCAGCCGCCTCTGTCCCTTTGACACCCCCTCCCCTGCGCCTGTCCCTACAGGAACCTGCTCTACGTGTACCCGCACAGCCTCAACTTCAGCAGCCGCCAGGGCTCCGTGCGCAACCTCACCGTGCGAGTGCAGTACATGGCGGGCGAGGACCCCAGCCAGGCCCTGCCGGTCAGTGGCTGGGCCCGGGAGAGGTGGGCGAGGTGTCCCCGGCCGGCCCCTCATGGCCCTGCTCCCCCAGGTCATCTTTGGCAAGTCCAGCTGCAGCGAATTCACCCGGGAGGCCTTCACGCCGGTGGTCTACCACAACAAGTAGGTGGGGTGGGGGCCGGGGCACTGGTGGGGGGACAGCAGCAGGAAGAAGGGAAGGAGGGGCAGGTTCCAGAAATGCTAGTGGGGGAACCCGAGGCAGAGAGCAGAGACAGTGGGGTCTGCAGCTCTGGGGAACACGTGACCGGGGGTGGGGCAGACCAGGGGGGTCCCTGTCCCCTGAACGCCAGCCGGGCCCTGCCAGGTCCCCTGAGTTCTACGAGGAGTTCAAGCTGCATCTTCCGGCCTGTGTGACCGAGAACCACCACCTGCTCTTCACCTTCTACCACGTCAGCTGCCAGCCCCGCCCGCGCACAGCCCTGGAGACGCCCGTGGGCTTCACGGTGAAGCCCCCCCCAGCCTGCCTCCCCAGCTGCTCCCCTCCCGCCGCTGGCCCTGCTCCCCTCCCTGACCCCCAGCCTCTTCCTAGTGGATCCACTGCTGCAGCACGGCCGCCTGAGGACCGGCCCCTTCTGCCTCCCCGTGTCTGTGGACCAGCCCCCGCCCAGCTACTCCGTGCTCACACCTGACGTAAGTGCTCTGGCCCCGTGCCTCCCACCGCCCTGGTCCCCGAGGCTCCCTGGGCTCCTGCCTCGCGGTCCCCCGGGAATGCATTGCCCACCTTCCCTACTTTCCGGGTGGTTCCCCATTCGTGCCCTGCCTTTCTTGCCGTCAGCACCTCTGGGAGCCATGTCGTCCTCTGTCAGGGCCAGGGCCCCGGGCTGCCTCCTCACTCCTGCTCTTGCCTCTGTGTGTCCTATGGCCCCTGTGTCCCTCCCTGTCCCCTCCTACCCCTGCCTCCTAGTGCCCCTGCCTCTCCACTCACCGTCCCCCCCCCCCAGCAGCCCTGCCCTCCTTCCTGATCACTGTCCCCCAGGAGTACTTCAGGGCTAATCATCCCCACCCCCTCCGTGAATACTCCGTCACCCTCCCGCATACCCCCTGGGGCCTCCATCTTGCATGGTCCTATTTTCTGATTCATTCCCTTCCACTGATGTTCCTCTTGGGTCTCCAGTGGAACCCCACAGTGCTCCCTCCTAACTGCCCTCACCCCCATCTCTGGGCTGGGCTGGGGCAGGGTGCCCAGCTGCTCCCCCCGGCAGGGCCGTGCTGAGGCTGTGGTGTTGCAATCGTTGAAATGCCTGGAGCTGGTGGCCTGACCAGTGGGGGAGGGCCAGTCAGTGCCCACAGGTGTGTCCCTCCCACAGGTGGCGCTGCCGGGCATGCGCTGGGTGGACGGCCACAAGGGCGTGTTCAGCGTGGAGCTCATGGCTGTGTCCTCCGTGCACCCCCAGGTAGGTGTTAGGACAGGAACCCGGAGTTGGGCAACAGTTCCCACTGACCGGGGAGAGGCCTGGCCTCGGGCCATGGACAGACTTCAGTCAGCTGGACCTGTCTCCCAGGAGGCTGCTGACTCAGGCAGGGAGCGTGCCAGTGGCTCCCCCAGCCAGGGCGTTGGCCCTTTGCACGGCCTCTCCTCCCCCCATCTGTCCCCTGCTATTTCGGTGGTTCCTTCCCCCTCTCCTCCCTCCCTTCCTCCAGGGCAGTGGTTCTCAACCTTCCTGGTGCCGCGACCCTTGAATACAGTTCCTCATGTTGTGGTGACCCCCAACCATAAAATTATTTTCGTTGCTACTTCATAACTGTCATTTTGCTACTGTTATGAATCGTCATGTAAGTATCTGATATGCAGGATGTATTTTCATTGTTACAAATCGAACATAATTAAAGCATAGTGATTAATCACAAAAACAATATGGAATTATATATGTGTTTTCCGATGGTCTTAGCCAACCCCTGTGAAAGGGTCGTTCGGCCCCCAAAGGGGTCGCGACCCACAGGTTGAGAACCGCTGCTCTAGTGTCTCATCCCTGTCCTTATTTATTATCAATTCATTGATCCCCGGCCTCAGTGTCTCTGCCCATTCAGCCCCCAACTCAATCCCCTGGGGCTTCCTGGACCAGGACCCTGGCCCTCCCCACTCACCCCCAACCCCTCACCCAGGACCCATACCTGGACAAGTTCTTCACCCTGGTGCATGTCCTGGAGGAGGGTGCCTTCCCGTTCCGGCTCAAGGACGGCGTGCTGAGCGAGAGCACCGTGGAGCAGGAGCTGCGGGCCAGCCTGGCGGCCCTACGCCTTGCGAGCCCCGAGTTCCTCGTTGCCTTCTCTCACCACGTGCTGGACAAGCTCGTACGTCTGGTCGTGCGGCCCCCCATCATCGGCGGCCAGATCGGTGAGCAGGCACAGCCTCGGACCTCAGTTTCCCCACCTGGAAAATGGCCCCTCAGTCCCCTGGGCCTGGGTGACTTCCTCTAGCCTATTTATCTCTCTGGCCTCCATTTTCCCATCTGGAAAGTGACCTCAGCCCACTGAGCTGAGAGCTGGTCTCCCGTGACCCTTCGATGGCCACATGCCCCCTTGGACCCTAAAGTCTCTCTCAGGGAGGTAGGAGGCCCTGGGCCCTGGAATTTGACCTCTGCTCTGCCCGGCAGTGAACCTGGGCCGTGGAGCTTTTGAAGCAATGGCCCATGTAGTCAGCCTCATCCATCGGAGTCTAGAGGCTGCCCAGGACGCCCGTGGTCACTGCCTGCTGCTGGCGGCCTATGTCTACTATGCCTTCCGACTGCCTGGCACAGAGCCCGGCCCCCTGGGTGGTGAGTATTGGTGGGAGAATCTGGGGGACAGGCAATATCCGGGAGGAGAGCATCCCAGACAAAGGGAACGGCATGTACACAGGTTCTGAGGCCACACAGGCCTCGGTTGGTCTGGACAGCTTGCAAGTGTTACTCCACCCCCGGGGTCTGGTATCTGCCTGCTTGCTGGCAGGTGACTCAGCCAATCAGCCGGCAGGGACTCAAGCAGGGCCCTCCTACAAGCTCTATAACTTGGGCGAGTGACTTCACCTCTCTGAGCCTGTTTTCCCGTGTGTAAACATCAATAAAGTGCCCCGCGTTCCTGGGGGTGCTGGTAATAGGAGATGACATAGTAACCCTGCAAAATGCTTGGTACAGTGGGCACTCAATCAAGTCGGATGTTTTTCTCATTTGCTCAATAACTAATAGGAACCACTCCCTTCTCTGGGCACTTACTGTGTGCCAGGCACTGTGCTCGCTGTTTTTTAGTCTCCCCCAAAATTGTTATGAGGCGGCAGCCATTCTCACACCCATTTTACAGGCAAGGCACCTCGAGGCTCCTAACAAGAAAATGACTTCACCAAAGGCAGCCCGCTGGGAAGGGGTAGGTCATCAGGGTGGTAGGCAGGTGGTGACCGTATTCCCTCCCTGCTCAGGGGCCCCTCCGGTGGCAGTGCAGCCTGCCACGCTGGCCCGTGGCCCCGGCCGCCCTGCCAGCCTCTACCTGGCTCGCTCTAAGAGCATCAGCAGCAGCAACCCTGACCTGGCCGTGGCCCCTGGCTCTGTGGACGACGAGGTCTCCCGCATCTTGGCCAGCAAGGTAGGGCGAGGGGGACCCTGGAGCCTCCGCCTCAGTGCCGTGGTTGCCGGGTGGGTGGGTGAAGGACCTCAGTGTTGGTGGAGGACAGGAAACAGCAGACAGGGGCGTGGACACAGGCTGGACCCTGGACCGCAGAGCGGCTGTGGCTGTCACAGGGTGGGAGCTAGGACTTGGTTTACACTGGCTCTGTACTCTGGGGCTGACCTAAGGCTGGGTGGCTGAGGCTTGGCCTGGTGGTGAAAACATATGTACCACACACATACACAGATGCATATATGTGCGTGCCCTGCATGTGTACACACATGGGGTGCGCATGCATGTGTGTGGGTGCATATACGTGTGTGCCCCATGTGCGTACATACTGGGAGGCACATATACATGTGTGCCCTGTGCATGTAAATATACAGGTCACGAATACGTTTGCTCCATAGGTGTACATGCATGGAGCACAGGTATGTGGGTGCCCCATGTGTGTATGTTCACAAATGCATATACGTGTGTGTCTCACGCACGTGTGAACACAGGTTCATATACTCATGCACCCCATGCACGTAATGCACACCAGTTTTCCAGGGTTGCATGTGGGCACACATATAAGCACACATATATATGGTCCAGGGTAGTGTTCACACTTGTTGTTGTTTTTTAAAGATTTTTAATTCATTTTTAGAGAGAGGATGGGAGAGGGAGAGAGAGAGAAAGAGAAAGAGAGAGAAACATCAGTGTGAGAGCAAAACATCAATCAGCTGCCTACTTCACACCCCGCCCTGGGGATCGAGCTCGCAACCCGGTCATGTGCCCTGACTGTTAATCAAACCAGCAACCTTACGGTGAACAGGACGATGCCCAACCAACGGAGCCACACCGGCCGGGGCACACCCTTGGTTTTTTGTGCTGGTTTCTTTGTCGTCTGCCCATGGATTCTACCACTGACCCGTGTATCTCCAGGGTATCGACCGCTCACACTCCTGGGTGAATTCTGCCTATGCTCCAGGAGGCAGCAAGGCTGTGCTGCGCCGGGCACCCCCTTATTGTGGGGCCGACCCCAGACAGGTGCCCTCCCTCCCTGCCCCTGCACGCGTGTGACCCCACCTCAGCATGAGCTCCTCCTAAGTCCTGGCTGCGGCTGACTAACCTAGGGGGGCTGCCTGAAGGAGGAGGCGGACCCCTTCTGCTTTGTTTGGATCTGTGGAGTCGGTGCGGTAGGCATCACAGGGTCATCGTAAACTGCTGCCACATGGACCACAGCCTCAGGCAGAGACAGAAGGAAGGGATGGGTGGTGTGTACATGGCATGTAAATGATATGCAAATCCAACCACTGTAACCTCACTGCCCCGCATGGCCGATTTCTATCCCTTTAATCCACTCTGTTCAGGAGGCTCTCCACTGTTCCCTTGACATAGCAACCTGAATGGTCCCAAGGGGACAAAACTGAACGTCTGGGCTCCCCCGTCCTGTTTCAGACAAAGGGGAGCCCTGTGGGCGGCTCCCTTTCTCCTACCCTATCCCAGGTACCTCGTATGCAGGGGGCTTTGCTTTAGACAGACTTGGGTGTGAATCCTGGCTCTGCTGTGGGCTCGCCCTGCACCCCAGGCTCTGAATTTTCAGATGTGATTAAGATCCTCAGGAAAGTGCTCAGCACAGCAGTCTTGAGCCCAGGAGAGAGTTAGGGCATTGCAGGTGGGATGTTGTCAGTGACATAGATCCTCGGCCCAGCCTCACCCCTGAGCCGCCAGCTAGTTGGGGAGCCAGGCACCACGCAAACCAGCGCACCAGCGTGTGAGTGCAGTGTGCAATGCCCAGAGGAGACAAACAAAGGGGACCACCAGCCTCCCTCTGGGTGGTCTGCGGCTTCTCTCCAGAGAGAGAACATGTTTTGCTGGGACCTGAGGGTAAGATGGAGCCAGGAAGCCAGAGGGGCTGGTTTCCTGCCCATGTGGCCCTCGGCCCTGTTCCAGCTCCGTGCCGTCACTCGGCGACCTGGACTGCATGGTGTTCCAGGCGACTGTTAGCAGCACAGGCAGGGGGGCTTCTGGACAGACTTTCCAGGTTGCTGGGAATCTGGGTTCATGGGTCCTGCCAGCCCCCCTGCATTTTTAACAGGACTCCCCCCACTGCCCTCTGATCTCTGAGGTGTCAGCTGGGCCTTGAAGATCACATAGGATGTGATGAGATGGCAAGAGGGTGGGCATTCCAGGTAGGAGGTGGCACAGAGGCTGGCCTTTGCAGTGGTTGCTGAGAAGCCAGAGTGTGTGGCTGGGATTGTGGGAGTTGGGGGGACCTCCACTGCCAAGGCAGGGGTCCCAGGGCTGGGCCGCCTCCGTCATTGGACCTGTTCTCCCTGCCAGCAGCCTCACCTCCTGACCAACAAAGGAGGAGGGGAGAGTGGAGCTTGAGTCCCCATACCCATTTCACAGATGGGGACAACTGAGGCCTAGTAAGGCCCCAAGGAAGGCTGGAGTGGGGCCAGGCCTGGAACCCAGGACTCTCAGCTGCTCCTCCTGCTTCTCATCACCATCTACCTCCTCTGTCCTAGAATTCCTCCTCTTTCTCCTCTTCCTTCCTCTCTTCAACCTTTTCTGTCTATATTCTCCCTCCTCCACATCTGTGCCCTCCCTCTCCTTTCTCTGTCTACCCCTGAACTCACCGACTCACTCATCCTCTCCACCCTTGTCCATACTCACTCTCACCTCCTCTGACCACACTCACTTCTTCACCCATCTACATGATTTTACCTTCTCCACCTACACTCTTCCCCATCCATTCTCTCACCCTATGTCTCTTGCCGGGGCCCTGCTCCCATCCCATGCTTCACCCTCTGTGGCTCCCCTGGCCTAACGGGGCTTCCTCCGGCCCCACATTCCAAACCTTGAGCTGTTCAACCCCTGGCTTTTCC